GGCTGTACTGGTGCAAAATGCTGTCAGTACTGCTGGGCTGCAGAAGGCAGTGATGAGGGGTGGTTTCTGAAGGCTGGTTGGCCCTTGTTGCACCACAGATAAATGCATGAATCAGTGCATAAATGAATCAGTGGGGGAGGGGGATCTTTTATAATTGTTATTCTATCTCTTACTTGTACAGAGGAAGGATCACGCAATTTTATAAAAAGATTTTCAGACTTACTCCACATGTGACTGTTTAAGTGTACCTCTGTACCAATACATCTAAACCCTTATGCAACTTTAAACCTCTAGTGGTTTTTTAAATCTTGGTTTTGCCACATACAAAATGGGAAAAGTGTATATTCTCATATAAATGAAGGCGCTTCTACAGCCAGAAGTTTTCCTTCAGCTGTAACTATTTCAAGATTTCAGCTCTCACATGTGAGAACTGCAGAAGCACATGTGACATAATAATATGCTTATTTTCTTAACATTTTACAAATTATTATATATTGTTATTTTCATAGAATTATTTTCATACATACCAATTATACTTTGTAGAACTGTGGAAGGCAGTCTGAAACACTCCTTGAATCACTCAAGTACTGCTGTCTGAAGGCTGTGCAGCAAATTTATCCTTGAAATTTAGTGAAACCATACTGAGCAGATGATTAGTTCATTTTCTTTGCTTGCTTTCTTTATCACTCTTTATTTACTCTTATTTATCTCTCACATGGTGAAGACCTTTGAGGCTTCTTTTTTTTCGTTGTTTAAAGAAATAAACTGAAGCATCAGTGATTTTTCTACTTGCAGAAATTATGTTCTGTGGTATGTTTTTTCAAATAATGTGCTGGCCTAGCAAAGTAAATAATGAATCCAAATATCTCCATAATCAAAGCAATAATTTCGGGTGCATCCTCCTTCACTGAAATCATGAGTTAAAAATATTAACTGAAAGATACGGTTTCCTGAAGCTATAGTGTAGTAATAGGAAATTTATTCATTTGTATACTAAAAAGTTTAAAATGCAGAATGCATATTCTTACCTTAAAAAAACCTTAGAAACTGTTCTTGAGGTTGACAAAAAGCAGCAGAATTTTGATGAAAATGGAAAAAAAAGTATGGAGATAATACTGGCAAATTGGCAAAAAATCTGGCATATTTTTCAACAAAATTAATAATCATAAACTTTTTTAATCTGAATTTCAAGAGGTTTCAGCTGGAATCTGAAAAGCTCTGTTTTGAAATGCCACTTCAGTTCACATCTTAGAAATTTTCTACATCTTGGAAATTGGTCATTGTAGGTTCTTGCTGCTTTGCTCATGTAATGGGCTGGTGTTCCTGGCCAGGTTAGATGCTGGGCTGCTGGGACACTGCAATGGATTTTGGGAAGTTACCAGTTACAAGTGACATGAAGAAGTTTGCCAGTGTGCCAGAGTTGACCAGTAGCCCCAGAGCAGTAGGTACAACGCATTTCAGCTTTAACTTCCTGTGAGATATTACAGCAATACTTCAGATGAAAATGTTTTTCTTTTGGTCAAAAGTTGAAACACTAGGTTAGGTTAGGCCAAAAGCCTGACCTTCCAGTTTTCAAGTGCTTTTCTGGTTGACTAAACTTTAAACTTTTCACAAATGCAGTTTTCTTTTCAAATGTATCAGAATTGAGATTTGAGCAACAAATTGTATAACCCTATTGTATATTACATTTATCCCAACCATTCGATCCCTGACTGTGTTCTTTCTACTTTGTTCTTGGTTTTGCTCTTTGTTTCATTCACATCAAGAGTTTGTTCTAAGCACTTTCAGACCTTCTCTGAGTGAAAGCCACAGAAAAGTAACCTTGCCTAAAGAGTATCCTTTCCATGATTGGATCCCACTCTTTCCATTCCTCTAAAGAACACCATGAACAACAAAAACAATAGATGCATCAAAAATTGTGCTGCTTTGAGGCTTAGGATGAGACAACTTCAGTGTGTACTAGAAACAAGTGTAACGTTCGGCATACAGTTCTCTGAAAGGTTATAAACTCGTATCATTTGATATACATAAAAGTGGTACTGTTGTCATATGAGACATGACCACAGTCCTTGCAGTGTTTCAGTTCTTTTTTTCCCCTGTCATCTGCACAACTAATAGCAGATGACAACTCTAAGATCCACCAATTCTTTTCCAATGCCCTGCTCAAAACTAGAGCCAGCATTTGACATAATGTGTTTTATCTCCCTCTCATGCCCTTGTTTGCTTTTTCTATCTTGCTCCCTCTCAGATGCAAATATCTTTTTATTTGCCTCTCATGCATATTTCTATACTTTAACAGCGATATACAGTCGTTTCTTTTTACAAGAAGAATTCGGAACAATACCTTCAGTCCTGTGGGATCATTTTCTGTATCTCTGAGAAAGGTATTTATAAGAGTCTTGATTGAGGAATGAAAGAAAAATTAAACCAGATCAGTAGAAATTATTTTCCTAATGGTAAAATCTGAATTATACATTAAAGTACCATTTATTCAATCAATTTTATTATTCTGTTTAAAACGACAGTCACTTTTATGTGTTTTGTATGCTAACAGAGGTTTATTAGCTTGAGTAAAAGGTTATTATTATTCAATTGAATAATTGAATTTTAAATTATTGGTATTGCACTTCATATTATAACTGCTTTTCTGGATGCATTTGATTATGTCAAATATACCTTTTAATCCCCTGTTTGGAGACCATTTTCTTTCTCCTCCTGCACTCTTTCTCGCGCTTGTAGTGATACCCTAATAAACACACACAGTCCAGCCTCACATCTTCCATGTAAATTACTGTGCATACCTCTCCTAGTCAGATCACATCAGAGGCTATCTGGTGTCATATAATCCTGGATACTGATATGTGGAAAATCTTTGCAGGTGATTAATGCCGTAGGCATCTCATTTTCCTGCAAAGCAATATTGCAGTGTTTATGTGAATGCCAGACTTAGGGATATGAAATGGACATTTAGAAAAGTTAATAATCCGTGCCTAATCCTCTCCAAGAATTATCTGTTGGTATTTCTATAAATAATTGCAGCTTTATTTCTTGTCGCTAGTGAAATCACATATTAATTTATTAAATGTGTTGTTCATTAAAAACTTGGAACTTTGCTATAAATCTCATTGCATGGGTGAAATATATATATTTAAAGCTACACATGAAATATCATTGCATTTGAAACATATATTAAATAAAAAAGTCATAAAGTAACTGTGCTTTGGTGTTTGTTTTCTTGCTTTGTTTGTTTGCTCAATGCTTTGAGCAAATGTGCCCTTCAAAAAGGTTTCATGTTTGCTAGAAACATGAGATTTGTTCTCGACTGCACACATGGATACTGTGATTCCTGGGCCTAACACTGAAATTCTCAATTAAAATGACAAACCATACACAAAACAGTCCAACACAATAAAGTATCGGGGCAGGCAGTCCCAGAACAGAATATTCTGTGAGCATTCTTCATTGCTGGCATTCAATACCCCACTGATAATGTTAGCGTGGCCAAAGGTGCTGTGAATATTTGCACGTACCTGTGAATTACATAATTTTCTGCTGTTATCAGACTGCTCCTACCTCTGCTGAAGAGTTTTTCCCTCAGCCAGGGATTGTCCATTAACTTCACTAGAAGGAGGATCAGCCTTTCACAACCTTCCATAATTTTAAGCAAATTATATTTTAGAAAGTAATCATTGATTCCTGAGATTTGACATAGGAAGCACTTTAAAAATGGCTTTGAATACTCTTAATTAGCTCAAGAATTACAGTCTCATTCCTCTTCTATGGTGCTATAACAAGCATTTATCTCAACTGATTTCAACAGAGCTGCTTCTGTTTTACACTGGTGCGAGGGAACAAAAAAACCCAGGTTGCATAAATTGTTAACAGCTCTTTCATAATGCCTCTTTATTACCAGATAAAACTTTGATGAAGGACATTCACAGAAGATCAATATGAGAAACCACATAAGACCTGACTTTATGGTACTGGCTTATACAGAAAAGCACAGAAATAAGTACTTGTTTTTTAAGCTCTTACTTAAGGCGATGACTGGTTTGATGCTGCTTTTCCTGAAAGAAATATTTCACCTTTAAGAGATGTACTGCCTCCTGAGTAAAGTTAATCCATAGCTCTGATTAAGGGGAGGAGGAAAAGGGAACAGAGAGCAGTTGTCCATCTAGCAATGAGCAACTCTATGCTTTGTTTGAGGGAAGAGCCTGTTGTCTTTTCTCTGCTTTGTGCAGATGCTGCTCCTGACTGATGCGATGCACTTCTGACAGCATCCGAGGAGGCTCCATGAGGAGGGCTGCATGTCTCATGAGGGAAATCAGGAGCTTTGGCAAAGTTTGGGATCTTCTTCCAAAGAACTGGGAAATATCACCTCATCAACAGCAATCTTTACCTGTAATTTATAGAGGCCAGAGCACAGCTGTGGGGTAAACAACAAATGGTATTGAACTGGCCAGTAATATATTGTCTGTGAGCTAATATAGCTCAGGATGTATTCACTGCCAAAAGCAAACATTTTCCTTGAGATTCACTTAGATGACAGTGTTTGTTTATGCAGTGGTTTATCTGTGTATGAAGAAGTGAGCAGGAATAAAAATGCAATTGCAATCACAGATAGTAAATCCAATTTATATTAATGTTTCTCCAACCTAATGGCTGTCAAATACACTCTTCTGCCTGTCTGGCAGTCTGCCTTAATTTGTTTCTGCCAAATGAAGAACAAACATTTTATCACAAGTTTGTTGTTGGGGTTTGTGTCTAAAAAAAACCCCAAGCACACCAACACTGAAGCCTAAAGAGGTGGCTATTTTTAGAAAGTTTGCTCTTCACACACTTAATCAAGACCATCATACTTTACTTGCTTTTCTCCAACTGTTACTAAAGCCATCCACAGCCTTCGAAATCCAAACGTTATGGAGTGGAAATGCCTGTGCAGGGAAGCTCTCTAATGAGAGAGTCTTGATGACAGTCTTAATCCCAAGATCAGTGGAAGCTCAGTTGTGCTCCTTTTTCTCCCTGAGGTAGCTGAAGAGGACATCCAGGCCCCCCTCGACAACCTCGGGCAGGGGCCGGGACAAGGGGTTGTGGGCGATGTGGAGGCCTTTGTCCATTGGGTTCCAGGCAATGCGGCGCAGCCGGCGCAAAAGGTAGAGGTCGTCAGGGAGAGTCTGTATGGCATTGTAGTCAACGTTTAGCAACTCCAGAGTGGTGATGTAGCAGAGAGACCGTGGCAGACTGCGTATGTTGTTATTCTCCACGATAAAGATTTGCAGATTGACCAGATACTGGATACTCTCTGCGATGTTTTCCAGCCTGTTGGACCCTAGGTGCAAGAAATCTAAGCTCCTCAGTGCGAAAATGCAGAGGGGAATTTGCACAAAGCGGTTGTTACTGAGGTTCAGTTTCCTCAAACTTGTCAGGTCAGTGAAGCTCAAAGGCAGTTGCGAGATGCGGTTGTGCGAGAGGCTCAGAACCTCCATCTTCCTGCATAAGCTGAGCTCTGCTGGCACTTCTGTCAGGCAATTCATATTGACAAACAAGACCTTCAGGTTCCTCAGCAGCCCAATCTCTTTAGGCAGACTCTTGAGACAGTTACCCCCCAAGTTCAGCACTACCAGCCTGTCCAGTTTCCCCAGCGAAGGAGGAATCACCACCAACTGGTTGCGTGAAAGGTTCAGCTTCTGCACCTCAGACAGTCCCCACAAGAAGTCAGGAGTGCTGGTCATCCCTTTCATTATGAGGCTCAAGCTGACATAACGCAATCCCCGTTTCAGCAGTGACTTGGGCTCTCTCCCTGAGAGAAGGGCATCTTCCCATGCAGGCAACTTTGGACCTTTCCTAAGAAAAACCATGCTCCTTCGCCCCTCGTTCTTCGAGTGCTCAGTTCCCATAACACTCTGGTTCCCTCCTGAGAGAAGTGAGGTTTTCTTCCCTTGCAAGTGCTACACCAATATGCAAATGCCAACAGAGGATGACAGCTTGCAAGAGGTGGGAAAGTCAAAGCAAGGAGAAAAGGAGGAGCCTGTGAAGTGCATCTCAGTCCACCAGGGCAGTTTCCATAGCTGCTGAGGGAAAGTTTCACTTTTGGGGGCTTATGTTGATCTTGGTGCAGAGTCTGTAATGAAATACTTGCTCCTGACTTGTGAGCAAACCTGTTCAATTCAAACTGAATGCCACAAGACAGCTGTCACTGTCATTTGGCCTGGGCTTTATTGGACAGATATGTATCTTCACTGCAAAAAGGTCACAAGGATGCTGTATATAACTTCACCATGTCAGCTTTCTTGGCTATCTGGTACATACCATGGCTGCAGGACAATTAACAAGAGTCACTTCAAAAAAAAAAAAAACAAGCAAGCTAAAGAAGAGAACAAGCAAAGAAGACATCATTTAGATTCAGATTTAAAGGACATTTTCATACTAATTTTTTTGATGTTTCTCATTTCACTGAAGTAGTTACTGGTGTACCAGAAATTTTTACATGCTGCAAAACATTGACTTGTTATGTCAGTCCTTGTTTCTGTTTAGTTTAAAAAAAAAAAAATCTAAAAAAGAAAAAAAAGCACTCACAAAAAGTGTTACCTTTTATATCCCCTTTGTGGTGAGGATAGTCCTCTTTCTTTTCAGAAAGGGTACCACCTTCACTACAGCAGTGACATTTTCCAGTGGTATCTGCGCCCACTGGGATGATTGCTACCCACGTTGCCAAATGTGAACAGTCATACCTCAAAGTTCTGCCCAAATTACTTTGTCCTAAATGTCCTGTGCTAATTTCACATCTATCAACCAGATTTTTGGAGTCTGGTTCTTTTGTGCTCCAGAAAATAGAGTCTCTTGATGTCCCTTTCCCTGTGAACTTTCATGTCTTTCTGGGCTGTTCTGGTGTACAGGGGGACTAGCAGTCAAATAGCTTGAACTATAAATGACATTTAGATCTGAGATAGAGGGACTGATGGGAGAGGAAGGAAGTAGTGAGGTATAATAATACTCAACAACAGCTGAAGCAAGCTCTGCTGGCGAAAGGAAATTGCATTGCAGTGAGTTTAAACTCAGAGGGACTCTAAAAAGGATCTCCAAAAACTTTAGGCACCATTTAAACTGGGTGAAAATTGCAACAAATAGTACAAGATTTTCAGGGCTTTTTCTCTCCGTTGGATGATTAGTGGCGATGAGCATACCCTCACTTCAGAGATGCTCCCCTTAAAACCTTTCATCAGCTCAGATGTTAAGGGATTATGCAAGAAGTTGCAGCTGGGAGTCAAGGCTCACCAGCAACCTCTTTAGAATCAATCCCCACAGTCCTTTCTTACTGACAAACACCACTCAGTCTCCTTTGAGCTTTGGGTCCCTCATAGAGCTGCATCAGCTTGGGAAGAGCGGGGAGAGAGGAGGCATTCCTGCAGTTGTATCTGGCAGCTGAGGAGACCAGTCAGGACCACAGTGAGAAGCACAAGATGGTGGCAAGCTGAGTGAGCCACACGATTAAAACCTGTGCTTTAACAGGGCTGCCAGCTGGTCCTGAGGCCAAAGTATTGCATTCCCTGGAGTGCCTGGGCAAGCCTGAAAGGGCTGAGGCCAGTTGTATCTGTTTGGTTAGAGAAGGTTGGCAGCCTGACTGTGAGTCATAGATCCCTCCCTCACAAGCACTTTTTGCCAATATTTGTCCGTTTGCAAACAAACATTACATTAAATGCCATTGCAGCCATAAGCTCTGACTCTTGTTAACCATCATTCCCACATGCTGCTCAGAGTGGCAGACATAACCCTGCCACTACAGGCAAAGGAGCCCTCAGTGGAGGAAACCCAGCAGCTGGCTGAATTTGGACTTGATTGGGCCTTGCATGATGGGGGGCATAAGCCTAAAATGTGGCCCTTCAGCCCAAGCAGGTGGAGAAGCAAAAGCAAGAGCCTCTCATGAGCTCTGTCTCTGGGTTGTCAGCCCAGCTGGTGTTAAAAATGCACCTATTTTCAGAAAACCTCCATGGATTTCAGCAAGGCAAGAAGAAAAGAGCTTTTTAGAGAGCATTTATAAGGTTAGGCATTTCCCTTCTTTTAGTCTCACTGCTAGAATGAAGAACCTGCTGCAGTTCTACTCAGGAATCAGTATTGCTGCCTTTGACTGGGCTCCCACCTGTGACCACAGCCCCACGGTCACTTCAGAGCTTTTCCTTCTACCGGTTATCTTAGTAAGAAACAAAAACAAAACACAAAGGAAACACAGTCTTCCTGTAGTCACAGCCTGCCCCCATGGCTGGCCAGATATTTTTGGATGAGGACGTCATCCTCGTCTCCAAAACACATTGGAGTTCACTGCCTGGGGACTTGGCAGTGCCCACTCTGGCCTCTCACCACAGAAATCCTTGTTTCCTAACAGCGTGACTCAGCCAAAGCGCTCTGTACCCTTCCCTGGCTTTGCACCATGCTGTCCATTTGAAACTAAGCCTGTGATACAGCCCAGTACAGTCTGGGCTGGGCTGGTGCTGGAAAGCTTCACCCGGGGATCTCTATCAAAGAAAAATGCTTGCTCTGCTTCAGCCTCAGAGCGTCTCCTGCTATTGCGCTGCTGTATCTCCCCTGCCTGGCAGGCAGCAAGCAGCAGCAAAGGGGATTTTCAAAAGAAATTCCACATCTGTAGCTCTCATTGTCCGGTTCCCTTCCTGCCTCCACGAGTACCGTAACTGCTGTGTGAAATAAAGAAAAAATAACCATTTCCTTTTCTTTGTTCTCCAACAGAAAAACACGCTATTGAGCACACTTGTAGTTGTGGAGACGGAAAACTCTGAGGTAAGCAAATTAATTTTCCTTCTTGTAATCGAGATAGTAAAACAACAGTGGCCTCATCTGGACATCTCAGGAACTAAAATTCTGAACAAAAATAGTCCTTATCCCTTGGTGTCCAGGACTGGTTTTGTTCAAACATTTTTCGCTTTGCTTTTCCCTGCGTTGCCTGCTTCCCTGTCCTGATCCATGCTGTACTGTGCTGTGAGGATGGATCAATTCCTTTGGGCTGCTCCTAGGTGGCTGGGCCAGGAAAAAACACTGACCTGTGTCCACACAGCCTGGCAGAAAGCAGAAATGAATTTTGTGCATGCATGTTTGGAAGGGAAAACAACCCAAGAAAATTGCTGGGCTTTACATGACACAGTGTAGTTGATAATTGCTTTGTAGACTAAACAAAAAAGTTAGTGTGCAAGGGGAAAAAATAACCCACAACTTGCTAAAGAATTTTTTAGTCTAACTAATACAGTAAGAGAAACTGCACTACTAACAATGATAAAAAACTGATAAGCTGACAAAAATGACAAGTTATATTTTCTGACATTCTTTGACAATGCAAATTATTACATTTTTTTTTCTTAAGGAAGCAGGATTGTCAGCCCTCAAAAAAGCTGAAGATGAGTTCACAAAAGACTTGGAATTTTAAAGTCTATTATCTTTGGGTTCTTTTATTTGTCTTCAGGTTTGGAGTCTATAGAATGCACTTGGGAAACATTTTCAAGGTTTTCTCTGCAGTCATTGAGAAGTTGCAATAAAACCAGTTGCATTGTTTTTAAGTAAAATTTGAGGTCATCACATAATTACTTTTCCATAGGATTTGCACTTTTGATGAAATATCCATAACATCAGGATTTTAAAGAAAATATAACTGAGTTTAAGTTTTGTTTTGCTTCAAAACAAAATACTGTCATTGTCTTTTAAATTGTTGAGCACACAATAGATGCCTATAGTTTTGTTAGCACATATTTATAAGTTCATAATTAATTTTGAAGGAAGTTCTACTTTCTCTATGGAGTCAAAATCATATATAGTTCCTCTGTCTCAGCATTAAAAATATAGTAATATAAGAAGGAATCCTTTAAATCTTTAAGCATAGCATTTTCTAAAATGCTGGTAACTTCAACTCATGTTCTTTTAGAAGAAATTGTCATTTCAATTCATTATTTAGGTCTTATAATAAACAGCCATCTAAACGAGGATTCGGAAAATAGCTAACACTTCCTGTCACAAGAAGGATGCTTTGGCTAAAAAGGGTTAACTGGTTTCAAGTTCAGCAGAAAGCAACAGTCATGCTGGAGAAATATTCAGTACAAATACAGCTGCAGCTACTGAACCATCTTCTCTTGTGCTATTTCTTTCCTCTGAAGTAAATAAAGAGTTTAAAGAGCATCAGTGCTATTCAGACTGTCAGAGATATCCTCTGGTCTTAGTGCTAAGGAAGCAAATTTTGTAGATTTTTAACTGCTTTGCAGTGGTTTGTTGATCTTGCAGCTATCCTGAAATACTAAGTCAAATTTCAAAGGTAATTTGAGATTTATGAGATGTGGCACAAGACAGGAACAATTCTTCAGGCAATTTCAGATTTCCTCTTAATTTGTTTTTAATTATGGTGCTGTTAACAGCCTTTAATGACTGTCTGTCCCTGGAGTTTTCCTGGAATGTTTTATTAAGGTCTCATGTGGAGCTGCTGGATGGCCTGACCCATGAAGAATTGGACTTGGAGGTGAATGCCTGCCTGTGCAGAGGCTGATTTTTCTGCAGACCTCTTGACAGAAGACAAGCTTGAACTATCCATAATATGAAATAAAGAGAGAGAGATTTGGGGTTGTATGTAGCCTAGAAATGACAGGCTCTTCCTCCTGACAGTCATGGCCAGCAGTAATTCTCATGTTACACAGAATTACTGGAAGTTTTATTTCTTTTCTGCAAACTTACCGTAATATTTTAAAATCCCAGCAAATGGATAAATGACTGGTTAGTCACCTCCTACTTCTGCCACAATTTCCCTGTGTGTATGCAAGTCAAATAGCTGGTCTGTCTGTCTATATTAAACAATGATCCTCCACCCATGATCCTGCACTGCACAATCATCCATGTTCTCTGTGGCACTTTTTCATCCAGTGTTTATGACAGTTCTCCCAGGCACCGCCAAAACCCGCTTGCCTTAGGTGCTTGCTCACTCCTCTGCAGGAAAAGGAGAGTTTAGCACATGGACACGCCCTAGGGCACACCTACTCCTGCAGGAGTACATGGAGGG